TGCATCAGGAGCAGTGGTGAGAGACTTCATGCCAGGCACCCCAAAATAGGGTGTGGGCATCCCACCCAAGTGACAGCTTAACCTACAATACAGACCCTTAATACGGACTCTAAGCAGTCAATCCTTTCTAGAAGCTTCCAAGGACTGAGAACCACTGCACTAGAGCACACACAGGTCAGGTTGACTGGGGTCCATGCCCCCTGGACCTCATGGGGCAGTGGGCTCAGCTCTCCCCACCAAGAAGGGCCAGGCTGGGCAAGTCTCCAAGGGACACTGGTGAGAACAGTATCTTCAACCCTTTAAAGCCTGCAACCCTGGCTTCTCCTTAAAAAGTACTCACAGACCCTTAGAGACAGGGTGAAGGACGCTGCCAGGACTATGCAGTTTTAGACTGGGAAGATAAAACACTTGCGGAGATGCTGGCAGTGCTGGCCTGTGGACTATCTAAGATTCCACAGCTGAACCCTGAAAGGTGGTTACAATGACAGATTTCATACAATGTCTCTTTTAGCATAATCAATGGAAAGTCAACATCAGGTCACTGCCAAGGAAAAGATTATCAACACACATCAGCCCACTCAACCCTACAAGGTCATGCTGTGTTCATTTTTCTTGTCTTTACATTTTTCTTTTAAAAATGAAACTTTGGTAGTATTAACTTTGGAAGTATTAAAAAACTACTATGAATCTTTATTCATCCCAAGACCTCAAAGGGGTGGTAGTTCAACACAAGAAAAGGAATCAGCGCCATGGACCCCTCTCAGAGCTAAGGTGAGCTCAATGCGATGTGGAGGAAAGCATTTTACCACTCCAGCACCTTGCACAGCATCCGGAGGAAAGGAGTTTCCCTGAGCACTATAAAAGGCACAGCAGAGAAACCTACTGAAACTCCCTGCTAGCCACATCCTAAGGGGGGCAGAAGGGAAGGCTGCCTGCTCTCCCCGCTGCCAATCAACACCACAGAGAAAGATTCCACCAGAAAAAAGAAACGGAAGGCAGCCAGGGCGGAGTGTGGCACAGCACAGAAAGCCACTACTTACCATGCTAGCGTCCCATAACTGGAGCGCCGGTTCAAGCCCCAGCAATTCCACTTCCAATCCAGCTCCCTGCTAATGCACCTGGGAAAGCAGCCAAAGACGGCCCGCGTGTTTGGGGCTCTTCCATTCACACAGAAGATCTGGAGGAAGCTCCTGGCTTTCACCTGGCCCAGCCTCAGCATTTGGGACCATTTGACGAATGAACTAGCAGATGGAAGATCTCTCCCTCCCTCTTTCTCTGCAATTCTTCCTTTCAATTAAAAAAAAAATTATATAGATATAGATATATATAACAGCATCCAAATTAGGAAAGGGGGAAAAACATCTCAACTCCACAGCTGCCATGGTCCCAGCAACAGAAAATGCCTAGAGCCAGCACAGTATCTCAACAGGCTACTCTTCCACCTGCAAAAATCGGCATCCCGTATGGGTGCTGATTCCATGTCCCAGCTGCTCCATTTCAGCCCAGCTCCCTGCTTGTGGCCTGAGAGAACAACACAGGATGGTCCAAGTCTTGGGCCCCTGTGCCCATGTGAGAACCAGAGGAGGCTCCTGGCTTTAGGTCAGCTCAGCTCTGGCTGTTGCAGCCATTTGGGCAGTGAGCCAGCAGATAGACCTTTCTCTCCCTGTCTCTATAAATCTTCCTTTCAAATGAACAGAAATAAATGTTAAGAAAAAAAAAGAGAGAGAGAGAGAGAAAGAAAATGCCTAACAATCCACACAAAATAAAGCTAACAGAGTTTACAAACAAATTCAGCAAAGTTACAGGGTACAGAATCAACACAGAAAAATCAGTGGTGCTTCCCTACACTGGCAGGGAACAATCTGGAAAGGAAATTGAAGGCCAGCCCCCAGTACCAAGACCCTGAGAGCAACCGAGGGGCGGCCATCAGGATGGTCTGGGGTCCTCTGAAGTGGAAACATCTCGTTATTCACGGTCCTCGGTGGCAGTGTATGCATCAGTGCCTTTAATTTTTCATGCATATGAGTGCATCCCATATTAAAATTAAGCAGAGCAAATAACCTGGACCAGGATGGCAATGCGGCTCATGCAGGACTTGCATCAGCCACTGAACCACATCCACCGAATAGCCTGACGGCTAGCAGCGGCCCTGGGTCCAGGGCCCTGCCTCCCTTCACATGCCCAGAGTCACAGGAAACCAGTAAACAAAATCCCAGGGCCCCTCTGGAGGAAATCAGGCCTGAGTCAGGCTCCAAGGAGGAGGAGGAGGAAGTGGACCGGGAGGCCCAGCAAACAGATTAGGCCCAGGAAACTGTTTACTGTGGGCCGTGGTTTTCTTTTCACTTGAAAAGTTGGTGGGGATTTTTGCTGTTTAAACTTGAAGAGGGAACCAAAAAGTCGTTTCAATTATTCTGCATGTGTACGGGACTAGGGGCCAGCAAGATGAAGTGTGTGCCAAGGATTGCCACATTTCTCAGCTCACTGTGGTCCCAAGAGTCTCGCAAAGGGGAAGCTGGTTCCATGGCAGAGAAGGCACACCACCTTTGGCTGGGTTTCTGTTCCTCTTTCTGGCAAACAGCAACACAGTGTGACAGAGTCACCAGGGAGAAGGGGACTGGGGGGTACAGGGACTGGGAAGCAGCCTGCTCCCAGCCCATCAGCTTCATTCTGGGCTGCAGAGAACAGGGAATCTGCAGAGACTGGGGCCAGGAGAGGCCCCGAGGTCCTTTTGACTTTTACAACCAAGCCCTTTATGAATTCAAAAGAACTTTATAAGAAGGGGGAAGTGGCATTGATCAAAAATGGGAAGACCAAAAGAGAGACACATTTCAAAAGACAGAGAAGGGCTGCTTCTCTTTCCTTTCTACCCACCAGCACTGGGTTTAGAGCAGCAGCAGCTTCTACGGGCTCAGGGAGAGAACCCATTAGGAAGAACCACATTGCTGCTTCCAATTCTCAGCAACCAGGGCTCTCCCTGGAGGCCCGATCCAGAAAAGGGCCCCCACACTAAAGCCTGCTTGGGTCAGCTGCACCAGGGGCCAGGCTGTGGGACAGGTAAAAGACACAGACTATGTCAACCTGAAATTGTTAACACAAGGAGCATCTGGATACATGGGAGGCCTTTGGGTGGGACTTAGAGAAGTTTTTTCTGGGGTCGGCGCTATGGTGTACCAGGCAAAGCTGCCACCTCCAACACTGGCATCCCACATGGGTTCAAGTCTCAGCTGCTCCACTTGTGATCCAGCTCCCCTCTAAATGTGCCTGGGAAAACAGTGGAAGATGGACCCTGCACCCATGAGGGAGATCCGGAAGAAACTCCTGGCTCCTGGCCTTGGATCAGTGGTGGCTATTTGGAGGAATGAACCAGTGGATGAGAGATCTCCCCCCTGTCTCTTTCAAATACCCAAATCTTTAAAGGAAAAGGTTTTTCCAATTTCATTAATTTGGCAAATATTTGTACAGTTCCTATTGCATGCTGGGTGCCGCAGGCAGGAAGGGTACATGGCTGGCATTCATGTATAGGGAGATAAACATCCAAGCTTCTAAACCCTAAACAGCCCATAACCCCCTGGCAAAGCCAGGGACCAGAAGCTGCCCACTCCTATCCAGGAACATCAATAAACCGACCCTAGAGGTCACAGTCTGGATCTGAAAAATGATCCTTCCCTGTGGCTCCATTTCACAGGGATGAAAATCAGGGCAGAGAGGTAGGTGTTGTCAGAAGAAGCAAGAACGCACCCTGCACGGCAAGGGTGCCAGCTTAGACCACTACAAAACTCAAACTAGAGGAGAAAACCCACAGTGACAGTAACCTTATCCCCCTTCCCCGCTGCCTCCCTTCCCAGGTCAAACCTAACCAAGCCAACCAAAATTCAAAGCAGGATTTTAAACGTTCATCAGCAAGCTCAGCACCACGACCCAGCCTACCTGGGGAAATGTTCCTCTTGTCAAAGTGCAATGCCCAACTGTAAGCAACTCCCAGGGGAGCCCATGGAGTGCCAAGAGGAGCCCACGAGATGAAAACCCAGGAAGCCTCGGTGCTTTTGTAGAGAAAACTGCAGCCATGGCCGCAGGCTTCGTCTGGCTTTGAATATGAACGAACCAATAGAGTCCCAACCATGAGACAGGAAGCCAGATAAACAGCATGCTATCAAGGGGGGACCCAGCGCCTCCCTTAAGCCGGCGCCAGCTGCGCCCTGTGACTGTCCTAACAAAGTCCCATTGACTCACCAGCTGATTTTCCTGTGCTGCGCGGCGGCAGACAAGGGGCCCTCTCTGCAGGATGGATGTCACACACACACCCCACGCCCCGCACATGGCCCCCACTCCACTGCTCACGCCTTCCTCAGTTTCTGTCTCCCTCTCGGCCCACTTGGTGATCCTTCAAGCTAGAAGGAAGGTAAAGACAGCAAGGGACCCCCAAGGGTCCGATGCCAGAGCAGGTGAGCTCCTCGCACACCCGGAACCCTGGGTGCGCTCCCTGACGCACCGATGGTTGCCACGGAGCACAACCTCGGGGAGCCCGGCAATGGGGTGCTCTCGGAACATCCTGGGCCCGATCTCCCGTCTTCTCCCGACACACAAACGCCCCGGGAACGGTTTCTGGAGTAGCCAAGCAAGGTCATTTACCCTAGCCGTTACAGCCGCTCCGGCTGGGATGGGTTAGAGTTGTCCTTAAAGGGAGCGATGCGACTAAGAGTGCGCCTGGCGAGAGTACAACGCAGCACCTAGTACCTCAAAGTCAAGAAACCTTCCGTAGACATTCCAAATTCAAGTGCAGACATTGGCGGTAAGAAAAGCTGAGGTTCAGAGCCAGCTTTAGGCAGCCCTCAGAGTGGGCTCCGGCATCCGACGCGCTGTCGGTGGCGACGCCGGGGCACACACATTCCCCGCCAGCCGCCGGCCTCCCAGGAGGGAGTCCGCCCGAACCGGAGCTCGATCCCGGCCCCGACCCCGGAGACTCTCCGCTCGGCTTCGCGCTCGCCCGTGCGGTCACTCACCGGCGCGCCGGCCCTTCCCGGCTGCAAGTCCGCACCGCCGCCCCCTCGGCCGCCGCTGCGCGCCCTGGCGCATCTCCGGAGTGGCGTGGCGCTGCGCCGCGCCGGGCGCCCTCCGCCCGAGAGCGCAAAGTTTCGTCGGGCTGCGGGGCCGGCGCTCGAACCCTCGAGCGAGTCTCAGCGACAGCCGCGCACTCCGAGCTCCCGCCGCGCGCTCGGGCCGCCGCCGGCCGCGGGCCCACGCTGAGCAGAGGGAGGCGGCATCCCGAACAAAGTGCCGGCCCCAGGGCCGGCGGCCGGGGCGGAGCCTAGTGACCCGCTGCCCCAGGCACACGCCGGCTGCGGCGGCTGCGAGGGGCGGAGCGGCTGCGCTCGGCCCCGCTCCCTCCCCCGCGCTGTGCCCGCCTGGCCAGCAGAGGGGCGGAGGCGCGGGGGCCCTTCCAGACTTTGTCACCGTAAAGCTATTCCCGTAACCCTTTCCTGCCCCTCGAGCGCTCCGCGCCTCCCAGGCCGGCGGCCACAGGAAGCCTCCGCACAACTGCGCCCTTCCTCTGCCCGGGACCTGCCAGCGCCGCCTCCAGGCTGGTCTCCTCCTCAGGTCCCCGCGCACGTCTCCTCGTACACCCCCTCCGCGTGGGTCGGACCGAGAACCCGGGGACGGGCCGACTCCTTGCCCAATCTCTGTGTCTCTCTCTGGGTCGGGACGCCCTGGAAATGCCCGGAGCTTAGCAGTTGCTCAGTGAAATAAGCAAGTGCACCCCGTGTCCCTACCCCATCACTTCCCAAGGCCTTGGGAGGTGGAGGAGGAGCAGGAAGGGACAGGAAGTGGGACACTCTGCTGTCTTGCGTACCCCACACCTGCCTCAGACCTGGGGACTGCCACTTACTGCGGGCTGGGGCGAGAGGCGATTAGATGGCCCCGTGCTCCTGTAGCTGGCAGGTCGCAACCCCACACTTTCCAGGGCCTGAGGGTTGGAGGTGGGGGATGGTTAGGTACAAAAAACAATCGCCCCCGTTGGGGGAGAAGGGAAGGAGGGTGTGCAGGGCACGGGTTGGGGGCCAGCTTCCCACCAATAGAGTCAGCCCGATTGAGGGCAGGGGCTCCAGGGAGGGGTGCCCCCCGCAAGCGTGGACCTAGATGCTAGACAGCACCCCTTCCCAGTGTGGGGATGCTAGACAGTTGAAGGGCAGTGACAGTGAAAACTGTGGTCAAGAAAAAGGGGTCCTTGCAAGGGGGTTGGGGTGGGGTGCTGCCCAGCCACTTGTCCTGGGTCTCAAGGCTGAGGGTAGGCCCTTGAGGTTGACTACTGGGGCTACTCCTTTGTAGCCATGGGAACTTGAAGGAATTTCAGGACCTTGGGTGGCCTCCGTTTTTACATCTGTAAACTGGAATAACAACTCTGTCTAATGAAATGGTTGGAAGGGTTAAGGGAGGCAGTGCAGGTGACAAACTTGAAACAGACCTGGCATGTGGTGAATTCTCAGTCAACGCCAGCGGTTGTCATGGCTTCCTGTGATGCTGCACCCAACTGAAGGTGCTTACTGGAATTCCTTCCTGTTTTAAAAGATGTGTTTCTTTATTTGAAAGGTGGAGTGACAGAGAGATTCCATCTACTGGTTCCCTTCCCAAATGGCTGCAGCATGAGCTCGGTCTGGGCTAGGCATATGGTCTCTCAGTGGATGGCAGAAAACCAAGCTCTTTAGTCATCCTTTGCTGCTGGCTCAGGAACAGTAGCAAGGAACTGGATTCAAAGCAGAGCAGTTGGGACTCTGCTATGGGATATGGGCATCACAAGCTGCCGTTTAACCAGCTGTGCCACAACACCATCCCCTGCGCTATCCCAGCCCCTCAGCCTGATTCATTCCAGAAGTACTGTTGTTTCTTGGCCAATCACAGGATGCGGCTGGCTGAGAACCTTGCCTCTCCTGATCCAGGGACCAAGGACTATGCACAACAGGCTCAGGGAGGTGCTGCATCAGAAGCTGGACTGTCCCTGGCCCATCATGAGGCTGGTAATAGCGGCACGCAGAGGATCCTTGGGTGGGACGCAAAATGGAAACGAAGGCCTGAACCCTAATTTTGAATGGGCTGAATCTCAATATCCCACTCACATTTCTGAGTGGCTGGTCATACGTGAGTCCTCCCTGACCTGCTCATCCTGATGCTGCACAAGAAACTGGTCCTTGTAGACAAGTTTAGTGCATGGGCATGACCTGCAGAAGGGAGGTGCTAATGGCAGAGGAGGTGAAGGCCACAGCAAAAGCAGGTGGCCAGTGTGGAGAAGCCACAAGTCACCTTGAGCCGAGTACTGTTGGGGTAAGAATCAGGGTTCCCCCGCCCCCAGTCTAACCCACCAGTGATCCCAGCCAACTGCCTGCTTTACAAGTGGTTCTCATCTGAATGCATTGATGACTCAGTTGCTGTGAATTAAGCAAATGAAGTTTCCTTAAATATGAAAGTCACTAAGAGGCAGAGACAAGAGCAGAGCTGGGAGGGTGCCAGGAGTGAAGTGGGTGACAGCATCAGTGGGGCCAGAGCTCTGTAGTCACCAGCTCCCGGCAGCACCCCCAAGAAAGTGACCTCCAGCCCTGCTGACCACATGGAGGCTCCCTTATACCCAGCAGGGCCACCTGCTGCCCCCTCCCCAACTTGGAGCCTAGACGTTGTTAACAAGAGGATCAATGTCCATGTGACCAATGTCACAGTGTACCCCAAAACCTGTTGTCACCATCACAGCCCCAGCCTGAGCTCCTTGGGGTCCTGGCCACCCCCTTGAAACCCCATCTGTGGTTCAAGGCTGAAGTCTTCTGACATGGGACCATGGGAATTTAAGCAGAATCATTCACACCCCTTATGACCTTGTGGGGGTATGTGTTTGGGGGAAACTGCATGGAAGGCCCTTGGAGAACTGAAGAAAGTACCTGGCTTCACACCCCCCTCCCCAGAGCACTTAATGGACATCCTTCATGCGGCTGAGGTGGAGTCCCAGCTTCCAACTTCCTCCTGCAAAATGCAATGGAAAAACACCAGGCTGGCAACAGAGGCTCGGAGCCCATGGAGCACACATCTGTAAAACGGGGTGTTGACAGCAGGCAACAGCAAGCCCAGCAGGGCTGGGCTGCGCGTTCAGTGGGAGAGAGGAAGATGCTGGAGCTGGCTGAGAGGTGCCACCTTCACATGGAAAGCCTCAGCTTCGTTACCCTGGGTACCAGCTCACTGCTGAAGCCCCACTCACAAATGACGGAAATATGCCCATTTGCTCATCCCTTGTCCTTGCTCATCCGGAAGGGACTCCCCATGGGGCTGAGATGGGTGGGCTTGGGCAAGGCAGCAGCCTCCATCTGTGGCCACTGGGCGGGCGAACTGGCCTGCCCACCCCCACCCCACCCCGGCCGCGTCTTCAAGGAGGGTGTTGATTGCTCACAAGGACCTGGGAGAAGTTGGAGGAGCTGCCAACGCTAATGAGCACTTTACGAGAGAGGAGAGAGAGAGAAAGAAAAAAAGAGAAGGAGAGACTGCCTTATCGGGAAGATGCCACTTCTCCCGCCCGCTCTGGTACCGGGAAGTGGGCTGCGTCAAAAGCCGTCACAGTGTTTTTCCAAAGATGGCCTTTGGAGAAGAGGTGTTGCTTTCAGGAGCCAGGAAAGTAGGGGTGGGGTTGGCAGGCAGGAGCGAGCCCCTTTAAGAAACGCTGCTCTGGCCGCTGCCGCAGTCCCAGTCCAGGAGCAGATAATAATAGTCCCGCTGCTCACCCAGCCTTGCTGAGGCCAACCACTCTTCAGGGCACTTAGCCTGCAGTGGCCCATTTAACCCTCATGGCTACCCGGCCCTGGCCACAGACATCCCCTTTATCTCTGTTTTAAGGTATACTTGTGTCTCTTTCTTTGGAGGTGGTGAGTCAGACACACAGAAAGAGAGCTTCCATCATCTGGTTCCAGATGTCCACAGTGGCTGGGACTGGGTCAGGCTGAATCTGCAAGTTGGGAACTCAACCCAGGACTCCCACATAGATGGTAGGAACCCAGTTATTTGTGGCTTCCCAGGGTCGTGGCACAATAGCCAGGACTCAAAAGCACAATAGCCAGACAGGTCACTCTGGTGAGGGACAAGGGCATCTGAAGGGACAGTTTAGCCTTCGGCACCACTTTATAGCTGGAGAAGTGGAGGTCAGTTGTCTTGTCTGGGGTCTAAGAGCTGGAAGCAGGTCTAAGTACCGGAGTCAGGATTCAAACTCAGGTCATCTGGCTCCTGAAATCATGCTTCCCAGTTCTGGGTCTGTGAGTATAGGAAGGGGATCCCCATCGGTGTGGGGTGAAGGCTCCATCCATGACAAATGTCAACCACATTCTTTTCTTTTCTTTTTGAAGTCTGATTTGTTTATTTGACAGGAAGAGTTACACACAGGGAGAGAAAGAGAGAGAACTCCCAGCCACTGATTCACTTCACAAATGGCCGCAATGGCTGGGAAATAGGCCAGGTCAAAGTCAGGAGCCAGGAGCTCCACCTGTGTCTCTCATTTAGATGCAAGGCCCAAACACTGGGACTATCTTCTGCTGCTTTCCCAAGCACATTGACCAAAATCTGGATGGAAAGTGGAGCAGCCAGGACTGGAACCAATGCCCACATGAGATGCCAACCTCACATATTGGCCTAACCAACTGCGCCATTTCTCTGCTCCCCCAGTTATTTCTTTCCAGTAGCTTCATCGAGCTATAATTCACAGACTAAAACTCATCCACTGTAAGGGTCCAACCCTATGATTTTGTTGCAAATCTGGAATTGTGGACTGTTACCACACCATCAAGTTTTAGAGCTTGTCTACTACCCTGAACATTTTCCTTGTTCCATATATATTTTGAGTCTCAAGTTTTCTCATCTGTCAAATGGGAGTAACAGTGCCTCCTCCTACAGGTACATGACCATGAAACAAGGACGTGAAGGGCAAAAGTGACCAGTGCCTGAGAAATGCTGCTTATTATCATGACAGTTTCTTTGGGCCTTTTAAACAGACTTTTGGAAATAAGAGTGGCCATAAAGACGGTCTAATCCCACCCATTTCTTTGACAAATAAAGCCACTGCTGTGACAGAATGTCAAGTACATGGTCATAGAGGGCATGGTAGATTTAGCGACAGGGTGAGAGCTGAGACCCAAGTCTCTCGGTTGTTAACTCGGTGCTCTCTTTTCTCTTGAGGGACTTCTTTCCCAGGGTCCATGGTTGTCATTGTCCATCCCCAGT